ACTGAATAGTATTGCATTGAGGTTTCGTTCGCCCTCATTGACTGATTGTTTTTTTCATGTTCTGACAGAACTGTGCATCGTTTGGACTTGTGCAGCCATCCTTTTCGATGTTCGTGAATAAATTTACGGTTTCTCAGACCGTTTCCACAGGTAAGGAGAAGACTAATGCCTATATTTCTATAACCGACTGAAAGTAACTTTTTTCTCTCTGGGCAATGTGTTGTGCAAATTTTGAACGTTGACCAAAATCGCAAAAAAAAATCAGGCTCATTTTGAACGTTGCCCGGATTGGGAACGTCCATGAAGTACAAAAGTCCCCAGCTTTGTTTCATTGAGCGTGAATCATAAAACATCACTCTGGAATGAAACTGTTAGCTAACTACCCTCAAATCTATCAGAGATCAGGTTACAAGTTTCCATACGGGAATGAAGGAAGTTGGAGACCAGAGTCGTCACATATGTGTTGCTTGCCGTGGCTCTAATCCAATCCCCTCTGATAGCACAGAAATGGAGATCAGCGATAAACCATTAACTTTGTGAAAATATGGGCCATCAAAAAAGTGTAAACAAAGTTGTATACCTCCAGCACTTTGTGTGCCTAAATTCCATAGAGCCCAGGAGCTTTTATATGTTCCCGACCTGTAGCTTAAATTTCATCCAATGTGAAACCCCTGAAACCAGAATGAAGTTTATTGATTGGTGTGATGCAGTGTTCCGTTCTGTGCGCAACCTTCCAAACAATAACTACACTTTTGCACTGAATCATCCCGTTAGAAAATTATTGCGGTATTTCGATAAAGATGCCTGAGAGTCAGATGGTAGCAATGGTATGCTACAAAAATATATCATTATCATATCTTTTCCCTGACAGCACTCGTGGGGTACTACAACCTCCTCTGCTTCCAGTCACTGGCGGCCTGGAGCAAGCTGAGGTAGGGTAGACTTAAGCAAGCTGCAGATTCGTGGTATCTTATCTGTAGTGTTAGACGTATGACGCATCAATTTGTCCGCAAAAGCAGCCTCGTGCTCCTCAGGAACGGTGTTTCAAGAGTTTATATCCTCAATGTTCTAGAAGAACTTTAAAACCAGAGTTCATACTTCAGATTTTTTATTCTGGGCAACAGTCGGATCATGTTTTAATGAGAACTTCTCATTGTTTGTTGTTAACTTTCGGTCAGTTTAAAAACATTTTCAGTGTAAATTATTGTTCGCTTGTTGGACAAAAGTGTCTTCAAGCAAACATTTGTACTTCTCCTTGCCCTACGGTTTATGTAGCGAAACGCATCGGTAATAAATTGTTGTACCATCTGCTGTATTTGGTGCGCTGAACCACGAATCATTCAAACGTTTCTATTTAAAGCAATAAGTCTATATTTTTACATAGAACTACAATGTTTGAATGTAGCGCGATATACGGTATATATAACTCTGAATTGAGTGATAACAACAACATATTACAAAAATATATGATTATTGCACACCCCTTCCCTCTCAAAGGTCTATCGCATGTTGTACTGTCCCTTTGCATATAATTACTCCAGCGGGTTGCGGGTGGATGGAAAGAGGATGAAGCCAAATTACCTCTTTAATCGGCAGTGTCAGATGTGTCTTGCCTCAGTTTGTCCAGTAGATCAACCTCCAGGAACAGTGCTTCAATAACTAATAGTGTTTCCCTGCTGTCGCAATAAACCCAACGGTTCGATATTGAGAGCAGGAACTCCTGTGGTGTCATTCGCAAAGAAATCAAGGTTGCTCGAATGAAGAAAATGACAAACATGTAACACTGTATGTGTCTATATTTCACTGAGAATTAGCGTCCTGAAATGCTCCCGTCCCGCCACATTAATTTCATGCATTATCGGTCTTCTAAAACGAGAGCAGTACTCATCGATTGGTCTGACGCACTGACAATTACCTAAAGGAACATCAAAATAATAACTTTCAACCGAATAATAAATCCTGGTTTTATGGGTTCACTGGCATAATGCCAGCTATTCAAACCGCCGCAAAGTCATGTAATCCTTTTCAGCTTTTGCTACCGGATTGAACTAGTGGTATGCTAGTAAACCAATAACATCGTATTTTATTTTTCTGTATTTTAATGTATTTTATATTTGCAGGTGTTTGAAAAGGTTCTTATTCGGTTCTACGTTCCTGTGTTCACTGTAGATTCTCAGATACCATGGAGCCGTGGCCTGCTTAAATGGTCCCCTAGGCAACTAGAAGCAAAGGGCCGGTGCTTATGTATCACAAACTGTAAAGGAATAACTTAAACAGTTTGCACAGAACCACCCCGTTTGAATAAAATTGTTGTACAGTTTTGCACAGAACCACCAGCTTTGTAGAAAGTTTTGTACTTTGGACATAAACTATGATATTCGTCAGGTTTCATTTTCTCACGTCTCTTTTTTGACCAGAATTTATGATGTGTACTCAATCAAGTTTTCTTCATGTTACCGTGGGGGAATTCATAATGAAAACAAGGTAGACAAAAGGAAAAAACTGCATAAATTTCGTGCTCATTATAAACCTTCAATTATCGACAATATTCACTGATTGGTCTGAAGCAGTGCTCAGTTTTCTGGAGGAACTTCAAAACAATAACTGTACGCTTTTGCAGAGAACCACTCCGTTAAAAGTTACTTGCGTAATCTGGGCATATGCGCCCTATATTTGGCTGGTAACATAGCATGTGACAAAAATATATCATTATCACACATCTCTTCGCTGATCATAAATTATGGCGTTGCTATACAACTCGTTGTCCTTTCTAGAAGCATTCAAAGGACATACACAAACTGTCGCAACTGAGACTTCTCGATCAGGAGAAGCAGCGGCTGAAGGCCAAGGAGCACTCTAGAATTTGAGCTGCGGACTCTATCGGAATGTGAGTTCAGCGGTTTACCTCAGAAATCCGATTTCAGCTGGTTGTAGCCACTAACGAAATGTCTGTCATGGTCAACCAGTAGTGACCGTGGATGAGCGCCGGAATGAAGAATGACTTGAATACGAACAGCTCAGTCTTCAAAGCCAGCTCTGGTTTAGTCATAGCTAATTGGGTTAGTTCAAGTAGGACGATGGTGAGCCGTAAATTCGTTGATCAATCTTTCCTACCTATTTTCCATCAGTAGTACACATGACCCAGAGACGTGAACTTCTCCATCTGTTCCTCTGCTTCTTCGTTTATCTGAAGAGCGAAAGAGGCAAAAGAACGAGCAAGCACTCAGATTTTGAATGCATGCCGGCCATGCGGAGTAGCTCACTCTTCTTGCCCTATTTCTTCCGTTTTATTTCTTTTTAATACACTGCACTTATGGCTGATTGCAGGGAAATGGAAATCAGCGACCCACCGTTAAGTTCATGAAAAATTTGGCACCAGAAATAAGTCCATCACGCAAGCGTAAGCAATGCCAAGTACTTCCATTCGTAGGCATATGTAATAAAAATAAACTCGGGTATTTTTGGTGTACTATGGAATTGTTAGGAGTACGCAGATTTGACCTAGACTGACGCCATTGGAGTAATGCTGTCAGCGTACTTCGCGCATGAGGTTGCAGAATCGCGACGTGTGTAAGACGAACAGATGAGGTAACAAATAGGATCCTTGTGCGACTCTTCCCGTGATGAGGCAAACAAACTCTCAGAACTTCGAGTTATAGACGGCCAGCAGGTTGACAGTGTGAGACTCCACGCTGATGCTGACCAAGAGTCTGAGCAGCCTAACTTTTGGCAGCGGCTTGAAGGCTGAGCTGCCGTCAAAAACGGGATTCCTTAAGATTGTCTGTTCTTCACCGAAGTTGCATGCGATGGTTCTGACAACTGCAGTCAATGCACCAACGGCACCGCCTCATATGGCAAGTCCAAATTACCAGGGAACGTCATTTTCCGACAGCTTTTAATAAATCGATGGAGA